TGACAATTTAAAGTAACTTTAAAATAGTGTATTTTTTTTTTTTTTTTCCGACTATTCACCTCTGAGAAGGCCACTATAGTCAAGGAGGTTACTTTAATACTTATTTAAGAAGGTTACTTTACAAGTCCACTATGCAGAAACTACTAGCTTGGTATTACCAGGGACATGGTGGGAATCAAGCTTGGAGCTTCTTCCTTATGAAGTAAGCGCTCTACCACAACACTAATATTACATTAACTGCTATATATAAGACAAGCCTGTAATTATAGTATTGGATACAGGTTTAAATCTTTTTATTAGATCAGAAAATATCAAAGCTTTTAAATAATTAAGTTTCAAAGCAATAAAGTTTGGATTAAATAAGTTTGAAACTTCAATCTTTTATTAAGTCTGTTAAGTGAGATTTTTTAAAATTAAAATTGAAGAAATTAAAAAAAAACAAATTTCTTCACAATAAAATTTTTTTTTAAATCAAAGTTAAAAAAAGAGGTTTTTTTTTTAAGTTAATCTTTTATTTATTTTCTCATTAGTTAAGATTTTTTTTTTTTTTTTTTTTTCAGTTAAAGAATAGCATTTTTCTAATTTTTTCAGCTTAGTTTTTTCAGCATATTTTTGTAATTCCATGTTGACCGTGATTTTTTTTTAAAATATCACTATCTCAGATTTTGCTGAATTTTATATAGTTAATAGTACAAATAAGTTTGATTGATTGATTGTATTAAGTAAATTGGAACAATTTGTACAAGTTGCAGTAAATTTTGAAAACATTTTATTAAATTGTTTTTAGCATCAATATTTGTTATATATTTTAAAATATAAATTTATTTCTTAGTAATTAAAAGTAGTAAATAACTAAAAACTAATGAAAAGCATATTACCTTTAATTACTAAGAAAAATTTTTTTATCTACTATAGTATATTTAAAAGAATCATACCAACGTAGTCTATTTAAAGGCGGCAAACCGACTAGAAAATGGTATTCCGGTTTCATGAATAAATATCGTAAAGAAATTTGCCCAAGAAAAGTAAGCGGTATGCAAACTATTAGAGCTGTGACCACACAACCAGCTATAATTAACAATTGGTTCGAGCAATTACCAGTAGCATATAATGAACATAATTTAGGCGATAAACCGTTTCAAATATTTAAATGTGATGAGTCTGGTTTGCAATTTGATCAAGGCAAAGTCAAAATTATTTGTAGAAAAGGAACAAAAAACCCTAAAAAGCTAGCGCCATCGAATGAAAAGCAAATGACAACAATCTTGACTTGCTGTGACGCATTCAGTCATTATTTATCTCATCAAATAATTTATAAAGGCAAACATGTTATGAAAGACTAGTGCAAAGGCGGTCCCCAGAATGTTTATTATAACAGTAGTTGTTCAGGCTGGATGGAATCCGAACATTTTGTGTCGTGGTTTGAAACAGTTTTTTTGCCTCACGCAAACAAACTTTCAGGATTTAAAGTTCTAATACTTGATGGCCATGCTTCACATATGAGCTTAGAGTTGAAAAAAAAAGCTTTAGAAAATTATATTTTACTTTGGCGTTTACCGGCTCATATCAGCTTTTTTTTACAGCCACTAGATGTTGGCGTTTTTAAAACAGTAAAAGGCACATGGAAGAGAATTGTCGAAAGTTATTTGACTAAAAATCACTTTCAAAGCCTGACTAATCGACATTTTCGGGCAATGTTTAAGGATCTTGTCCAAAATGGTGGGTTTAAACCTGAAAATGCACGAAGTGGTTTCAAAAATACTGGGGTATTTCCACTCGATTGTTTGCAAATATCTTCAAAAAAAACTTCCATTAGTGCTGTGTTTCAAGCTGTCGAAAATAACAATGTTGAAAATTTATTTGATTTTTTAACAGTACCATGAGTTATGGGAAATGCTACAAATTCACCTAACACACCGTCAAGAATGTCAAATCGTGAATTTTTGCTTAAAAGCTTTGCTACTTTGAATAATGCTGTTCAACAAGTGGGCAAAGATATAAACAAATCAGTATTAAATATGCTTCGAGATCAATTAACACTAACTCTAAATAAAAGAGTTCAAAAAAGTGAGAGGATAAAGCGCCTAGCTAATTATAATATGACTTTGGCGGATGCCATAGCTTACGATGAAGCTGAACAAGAATCAAAAAAAAAAAAAAAATTAGATGAACAAGCTGCAAAAACTTTACTAGAGAACAAAAAAAGATTTCCACTCAAAAAGCAAAAAATGCACAGAAAAGAAAAGAAAAAAAGTTGAGACAATGTCAGTCGTCTAAAAAACCAGGTAAAAAAGGTATAAAGACAAAGAATCAATTAGAAGAGCCTCATTTTCCTCAAGCTTCAAATATCATTTTAGTATCTGATGATCTTCTATGTTATTCTTGCAAAATTAATTGGACAAATAACTTAGATAACCAATGGCTTGCGTGTGAGCAGTATTAAAATTGGTCATGCATTGAATGTGTTTTTATTTATTGTCTAACCATAGAATTTATTTGTAACGAATGTGTATAAAATAGAATATATTCTTTTTTTATTAAACGATTTCATTTTTTAATGGATTATAATAATTATTTTAATGTTAGTATTATTTGTGAATGTGTTTTTATGTATTTTGTATGCATCCGGAATTAGGGACATAAACACCTATTTCCGGATAAAAACAATATTTTTTAAAAATAAAATAAAAGATACATTTATATTGCGAAAATAATATTTTTTATATCGTTTGATTTGTCTTGTTATGAAGTTTTTTTTATTTAAAAAATTATTTCAAAATTCTTTATATTGAGCTAGTTATGTTATGTTTCGTAAATACATTTTAATGTTTAAATATTGATACGTAGGAAAGCGCGTAAACAATTGCTATTTATTTGTAAAATATATATTTTTTTTATTTTCAAATGAAAGAAAATTTTATTGTCAAACGATTGAGTTGCTTATTTTGCAATCATTATTTGGCATTGTGAACGAGTGTTAAAAATAAATGTCCCGAGAGAACTGTTTTCGTAACAATGACTATAGAAGCAGTGCAATTATTTTTTTAACTTCTTTCGTAATTACAAAATTATGCAATTGAATTATTTCAACGTAATTAAAGACAAGCATTGACTCAGTATAATCAGGTTAGAATAAGTCGAGAGAGAACTTTTTTGCACATTAAAATCTTGTTAAGTTTAAAATCTCAAATAATATATTTAATAATAAACAGCAATTTATTTTCTTGTCTAAGTATTAGGGAATAACGACATCGCATTTGCATAAACCTTCGTAAAAACTAAATTAAATGAAAACGTTTAACCAAACTTGTCTAGCGTAAATAATGAATCAGTTTTTTATTATATTGTCTGATGATGTTCGTAAATAAATTATGTATAAAGTCTTTTTATTTTTGTGACATTTTTATAGTCATCTTTCCTTGACATCTTATAGTCATCTTTTCCTTGACTTGTATCAAATTTCGTAACTGAAAATAGCAACCCTAAAAAAAGAAAACAAAAACAGTATAAAAAAACTTTTATTTTTTTTTGTTACAAAAATTTTTATTTTTATTATTAAAATATTTTTCTTACATCCCAGGCCTTGTTTTAAAGCGTACCCAATTAACATAATATAACAAAATTACTCAATTCATTAGACACAAAGTACAATTATAAAGCAGAAGTATTACAACAAACAAAAAAAAACAAACATCTAATATAAAAGGCAAGCGTGGGCAATATTTGCTCAAAGAAAGAAAATAAAAATATATCCGCGTTGAAATAAAATTGAAAATTATGTAGTATAATACCAAATTCTCGTCAGGAAATGGATATAGTATTGACCCTTATAAGGATTCAATACTCTGGTATATGAAGGTTTTGAATGTTTTAATGCTCATTTTTAGAAACCCCTGTCGGGATATCATCCTCAACACAAGCAAGTAAAATCCACTTCTACAGGTGTTGTATGACGTATTTTGCGGTTAATTAGAAGAAAAATATCCGTCAAGCTAAGCGTCCGTAAATAATAAAGCTATTGATCAGAGAAAGTATTAATTGGTTTGAAGATAAAAGTGTAAGGTGATTGGTTATTATTGATAAGTTCGGAGAGCATAAAATAAAAATATAGAAAACATCTGAAAGTGTCCTAAATTATTAAAAGAATATATTTTGACTTACATAATTAGTCTCAAGTTACCGATGAACAACAAAATACATTAAAGCGTGTTTTTTAGGTAGAGAAATTTAAGTTTACAAAGTAAATTAGTCTTAAACAGCTTGAATTAACATGTATTTGTCAGAATGGTATAAATTCAAATGGTATAAAATCAAAGGTGTAAATTCACCAGAAAAACCTCCCTCACCGCGTACACAGACACTTGTTCAGATCTTTTAGGCAACAACGACTAAAGCAATTCCCCGCCTCAGCCCATACTGTTGGATTCATGGTACATTGAGTACATGTTACTAAGATTAACCAGTACATCCTCAAGATGTAGACCTATCAGAAATAATCCCTATTGTCGACCCCTTTATAACGGAACATGATCATCTGAGCAGCAGCAAGATCCAGATTAAAACAAAACACAATACATTTTATCATCCCCCACATAGATCCTTGCCCAGGTATGCAAAGCAACAGCAGCAAAAGCGTTTTCCCACATCAATAATTGAAAATAACTGGTTTGTTTCACAGCCCAATTATTTTCTTCCTAACTGCAGTGTTTTTATTTGCATCTTTTTTTTTTTTTTTTTTTTTTTTTGACAGACAAGTAACGTTTTTATATTTTGAATTATTGAAGAATTTTAAATGCATAGCATATATAAGTTTTGAAGAGAGTTTAACTTATGCCAGTATATAATTTTGATTAAAATACTTTGAGGATTACATGAGATGAGAGTTTCTTGGTTTATGATGTTATTATCAAGCATATATTGGGTATACATCTGGATATGTATTTTTTTCATGGCAGTTGCATTTGAGTTTAGCACTATGAACAATTTCTTTTTTATTGTAGGTGCCAATATATTGTTAGATTTAAACGGAAATTGCAAGCTTGCTGATTTTGGTGTATCAAAGCAGATACAGGTAGAGTTCCAGTTATTTTGTTTTTTATTTACTTTAATTAATAGTTTTATCTTGTTTAAATTTAAAAATGTTTAAGTAGTGGTTCGAAAAAACTTATCTTGTAAATTGGGTTGGTCATGGTAATCACCAAATTATATTAAAAATTTCTGGAGATTTGCAAAAGATAAATAATTAAAACTAAAGCCTTGAAACAGAGTGGATCTGTGGGTGGTTGTAAAAACATGATACGCTATTCTGTTCCAACAATCCAAAAAATATTCATGCGCAAAATGCAAAAAAAAAAAAAGTATAAAATAATTGTTGTACTTAGAGTTCGAGGTGATAACAAAACCTTTCTAAAAGAATTTTTTTGTTTTTGTTATTGATGTTTATTAATGAATATTGTTTTGATGGTTTAACTTATTGACAGATATTGTTTTGAATTCAAATTCGAATTTACTGAATATGATATGGATAGAATTTAAACAGTTTTATGATTGTTTTTTAATTCTATTTTTTTTTTTAATTAGAGTGTTTTTATGTAGTAATTTTACTTTTTTAGTAGAAAAACTATTTAAAAGTAGTTTTTCTATTTTTATCATGGAAAAATGCTTATAAACAAAAAAACTTATAAAAGTTTACCAAAAATATTATAAAATATTATCAAAAATATTATAAAAAATGTTGTATAGTATTCAGCCTAATTAAACCTTATTATACAATTCTTATGCTTTCTTACACAATAAATCTAAGCTTGAGGTTCTCTTTTTTTTTTAAGATGTCAAAAAAATCTTGAAGACATTTGGTTGCTCATTCTGTTTACTGATTTGATCTGCGAATTTCTGTTCTGGGAGATTTTTCAAAAAGTTGGAAGAACCGAGTTGAATAAAAATCTCATTTCATCATTTATCCTGCTGTGTCAGTAATCTTTTCTTTACCATTCTTGAAAATCTTTTTGAGCTGTAAACAATTCTTTGCAAGTTTATTTGAGGATATTCGACATTAGGCGTTATATTGTTTCCTCCAAGTTCTTCATCCATAGCTACATGGAGAACCCAGATTCTTTTCAGTAATACATATTAGTAACTAACTGCATAATCTCATTATTTCTTCCAGTGTTTACATTCGTAGTTACCGCTACAATAATTTTTATATTCTCCCAAAATAAGTATTAATCAAAAATAGCTGTTATGCTTTAACAACAGTAGACATCGTAGGCATAGTGCTTAAAACTTAATTTCTTTTTGTGTATTTTTTAACACTAACACTTTATACTCTTCGTGATTAATACGTTTACCATCAAAGTGCTGTGACCAGTTTTCTAAATGTAGTGTTTTCTTCATTTGTTCTTTAAGTTTAAAAGCTTCTTTAATAGTTAATCTAAATAAATGAAGTTGTCTGAATGTCAATTTCATCTTGAGATAACTGTTGACAAATTCTTCTGACTCTTCACACTCATGGGATTCTGCCTCAGACTCAGATTGGGAAGTTGATATATTTGCTGTTGCCGTTCAGAGGTTTTTAGGCACTTCTTGAACAGTCTTGAAAACTCTAGAAAGCTCCATAATGTTCAAGAAAATTAGCTTCAGAAAGTCATAATGCTACTTCCTGCAATTACTAATTATATACTATTATAAAAACGTCGCGTTGTAGGTGACTTTTTTTTAAAAATCATTTTTATTACTTTTGAGCAAATGTTTGTTGATTTAAGACACAGGAAATTATTTTTAAAAAATTATTAAGTTATAACGCAAATTTGTATGTATATTTATATTCGTTAAAAGATGTAAAATTAATTTTAATCTTTTTTTTTTATAATATTTTTTAATAAATTTATTTTATTAAAAAAGTATTTTTATGAAAGTGTCTAGCTAATTAGAAAAAAATCTTTTTAAGAACATTTATTTTATTAATTATTTATTAATAGTTTTTAAAACTAACTTAAGTAACTTAAGGTAACTTAAGTTTTATTAATGGGTTAATTTTTATATAAGTTTTTTTTTTAAAGTATTCTTAATCTATTCGTGATATATTTTATTTACAATATATTTTGAGACAATACGTACTCAAGCAGGTTATAAAACAACTGCTGGAACACCTTATCATATGAGTCCAGAAGTTATTATTGCTAGTAAAGATAACATAGAATATGGAAAAAAGGCTGATATATGGTATATATTTAATATGTTTATATATATATATATATATATATATATATATATATATATATATATATATATATATATATATATCTATATATATATATATATATATATATATATATATATATATATATATATATATATATATATATATATATATATATATATATATATATATATATATATATATATATATATATATATATATATATATATATATATATATATTAAGTATGTATATTCTGATATAATTAAATATTTTAAATGTAAAATTTACCCATGTTGGTTTAATCAGCACAAAAGCCTAAATTTTATTCTGAGGAATATTTTCTTCCTGTTAGCAAAAATATCTTATAAATTTTTTTTATTGTTTTATAACATTTATTAAGAATTTGATCTCTTTGATCTTTTTTTTTACTCAGTTCTTATTCAAAATCTTATTTAAATCTATTTAAACCGGGATCTGTGGCCTAGGTTTACTTCTTTTTTCAAACCTTGTCTTGGCCTTACTTAAATAACCAACAAGACTAGAGTTATTCGTCTATTTTATAGTATATTTTAACCTATTTTAAAAGTTCTGTTTTTATCTAAATGCTGAGCATTTAAGATTATTATGTAGTTTTTTTTTATATTTGATATTTCAGTATTAGGGTAACATTAACCAAAATGTCACCCTCTGGGTCAATAATCAAACATTAATTAGCAGAGTGTCTTACATCTGATAAATCATTTATGAATAAATGAAACGTAAATAAACGATGCAACCCAAAAAATCTAATTGAAAAAAAAATTTAATAGTACATCAAATGTTAACAGATCTAAAAGTTGACACTTGCAGTAAGTTAAAATCCACACTTAGTGATATTGCATATTACTCTTAAGAATAAAACATCAGAACCCAAAGATGTAAAAGTTATCTTGTTGTTTTAGAAATTGAAACAAACACCAAAAAGTTTGTCTCAAAAAATGCAGCAAAAAAAGACAACGCTTCAAGCCTTCGTTGCAATTTGATACTGGTGTAGAGCCTAAATAGTTTTACAATTTATTACTATTATTTGTTAAGAAATTAATGAATAAAAAAAGTTTTTAATTATGAATTAATATTTTTTAACAACTTTGTTATATGTTCTAGTAAGCACTTTCAGAACTGAAGCTAATTGATACCTTTTAAATAATATTTCGTTACATTTTCTTATTTTTATAACTTTTTAATGCTGATAATTTTTAAAACGAAAATGTAGGTTGTTGCTTATATATATATTTTAAATTTTCAAAAGTTTGTTTTTCAAAACTGCTATTATAGATAATTTGTCAGTTTTCTCAATAAGTTTTGTTGTTTAATAAGAGATAGCACTATTAGGTTTGTTGTTTTGTTTTTCTGAAATTGTTACTACTTTTTTTTATTTAAGGTGCCCGAAGTAGTTTTTATGGTCTTACCACTGAACACCGTAGATAAGCATTTGAAAGGAAGTTCAAGCCTCCTTTTTAAGCAATGTTATAAAGATTGCCTAGAGGTAGCGTTGAGCCAAAAATGTTTAGTTTTTAAGGCAAGCGCCTTGACCACTGCACTATAGCTGCTTATTTAAAAATTACTAATTTAAAAAGCTCATTAGAATTTAAGTTGATTGCATCATTTGAAATTGTAAAATTTAAATAATAAAAGTTTATTCTTTTGATTATTGTCTACAAAAATTTTTTTAGGCGAAAAGGTTGATAGGAATTGCAAGTGATTGTAAAAAACACCTCCAACAGCACTCAGGTCTATGTTCACAAAACTTTAAAAAGACAATTTTAATGAACTCTAAAAAAATTTCTTTTATATAAAATAGTAGGAGTTTTTCTAGAACATTTTATTTAACTTGCTTTCTTGCCGGTTTGTTTATTTATTATTATTTTTGGTGTTCGCGCAAAACAAACACAAGGTCAGCGGTAATATTAAAGGAATCGTTAAAAGAGTAATTTATAAAAAAATTAAAGTAATAAAAAAATATATAAAAAACTAATTATCCCATAAAGTCAACGACTGAAAATGTTGGGTGCCAATAGGAACGATTTGTTCTTAGTTGCCCAACCATTTTAGTCATTGACATTAATGGATATTTCCGGTTGTGTACGTACACAAAGTCCTTGGATTCCGTGAAAGAGGATTTATTTTTTACTTTTTAGACTATTGAAATGTTTTTAAAAAGTTTTTTTAAATACTTTTTATTTGAAAAATTGTCTTTTGCCGTCAACTAGGTGTTGAGACAAACTGTTTCTTCCTTGGATACATTCGTAAGTATTTATCTAATTAGTAGAATTCAAGACCTTGATTTTTTTTTTCTCGTTATTAGATCTTTTTTCTTTTTTATACCTCTCAACCATTATGTCTTTCAATTGTTTTAAATACATTTTTCAACATTCTGTACAAAGCTTATGACTAGGTATTAAATGAAACTCTTTCTCAAGAACAACGCTGATTACTCTAAAAGGTAACAAAATGATAAACATTTAACAACTTTTAGATATTTATAAATTTAATTTTGTGTTTATTAAATAGATTACAACAAAAGCTTCAAAGTAAACCTTAGTAAATAAAATTAAACTGAATATGATTTACTTTATATCATAAGTGCACAAGTTTTTGATATTTTTTTTAATTCCTCAAAACATTCAATTTTTTTGGTTTTCGTAAATTATACTTTACTAGCTGTCATGACCCCTAAAATACGGGTCTCGGTAAATCACTGACTTTTCTATACTTATTCCTTACTTCAATATGTTTTAGTAAGCGGTAAAAAAATAATTATATAAATATATAAAAACTATACTTATTGTTTACTTTTTAAAGCTATAAAATAAATTTTTTTATTATAATTATTTTTTAAAAAACTTTAAACGTTTCGTTGGACGTTGAACGAATCGCTATTTATCAACAAATTTGATATCATTACCAGTGTAAATATTTAGAATACCCGCTTGAAATGTGTTATTTAATTACTATTGGTATAAAAAGTTTCAAAAAACATGAGATGTGTTAAATCTGTGGAGTAAAGGATTGAGCATGACCCGTTTAATTATTACTGAATTAAATATTATAATTATTACTGAATTATATATTATGACAGTTCTATATATATTACTGGTCATGGCAAGTCTATTCCTCACCTACCCTTTCAATAATTTTAAAGCAAAATATAAAAATCTTTGCTATAGTTTAATTTTACGATTACTTTACACAAACTTTACTTTTAAAAACTTACAATTTAGCTTTACGATTAATTTACAAAACAGTATTGGTTATAACGATTTTCTTACAAAACAGTATTAAAATTAATTGATAAAAATTATAATATGATAAAAAAAATTAATAGGTCCTTCCGCGTTTTTTTTTTATAAAGTCTACAGAAATTGTGAAGGACTTAATAACATATGCAGACTCTAGTTGGAGAAAAAAAACGCAGGCGGACTTTATTATTTTTTCTTTGATAAGTTTCTATTATTCTTTGATAAATTTCTATAAATTAACTAAATTTCTTTTTTCAAGTCATCTACAGCTTATCAGAAAAACGAAACACGAAACACTTCAACCACTTTAACTTTTTAACAATATTAACTTTTGACACTGTTTAATAAACGACTTGTTTATTATTACTTAACTTTATAAAACGAAATTTTTTTTTTTTTTTTTTTTTTTTTTTAACATTGTAACAAAGCATATAAATTAAAGTTAAATAAATGTTATTGAAATGAAATTTTCAAAAGTAAATCTGTAACATTTTATATAATTTTTAATAATTAATGTAATTTGAAACGCCCGCGTTTTTTTACGCTAGATATTTGTATAGACTTTCGCTTACACACATAAAATATGAATCACTTCTGATTTTGGTTTCAAAAAAATGCCTAATAGCTTTATAAAATTAACGATATTTTTATTTAGACATTTAAAGACATAAGTGGATGAAGGTGTTATGTTACACCAATAAGGATATGAGATATCAGGAATTAAAGTTTTGAACACATATTGTTCTAGATATTTTTCTATAGCAAAGATATGTTAATATTTATGGAGAGATATAGTAACCAAACACTTAAGATTTTGTATGTAATATTTAATTTACTTAACACCCCTATTTGTGTAAAACAGTGGAACTTTGTATATTTGCGACATAACGCCTTCATCCACTTATGTCTTCATTTATTAACAAGTTAACAAAACATAACATTTTTTAATAGTTTTCAATTGTAGGTCTATATTAAACAAACACGTACTCTAATTAATCTAAAAAAAGTAATCGAATAAAAAAAGGAAAAAATTCACCACAGGAAATCAATTTATTTAATAATTACATAATAATAAAATTATTACTATTATTAGATAATAAATAATTATATTATTATTATTATTCCATAATAATAAAACAGAATATATAAAGAAAAGTATATATTTACAAATTTACAAAAAAATTTAGCTAAATATGCATTATCAATTATCCATAGGCGCCCGCAGGAACTTTTGATGTTTCAGATAGAACACTTCCACACAATATGCAAACTCCAAACTTAAGTATGTTCATACCTATGCCAAATGAGGAAGCCTTGCAAAAAACAACCCCTCAAAATGAGGGGGTGTAAATTTTGCATGGTCATAACTTTTGTAATTTACAAAATTTTTCTACGAAATTTAAAATCTGTAGATAAATTTAAGTTTAGTTTAAGATAATAAAGTTGAAAATTTTACTACTTCAATGCCTTACGTTTGGGCAGGGGGTGCAAACATTTTAGGGTTTTTTTGTTCCTAGATTTCCGCCCTCCCTAATTTTTGCAAGCTTTCCTTATTCGGCATAGGTATGAACATACTTAAGTTTAGAGTTTGCACAATGTGTGGAAGAATCCTATCTGAAACATCAAAAAATCCTGCAGGAGCCAATGCAATTATCACCAATTGGTAGATTTACCAACTACAAAAACTAATTAAAATAATAGTTATAGATGCAGCGTATTTTTTCCAACCACTCTCCTCATACTTTATACTTTTGATTAACACTCTTTATCAAAAGAAAAAGGAGGAAAGCAAACTGTTGGCCTTAATTTTAGCTCACACCTTAAGTGCCTTATGAAATGTGGGCCCTCTTTTTGATCTGCAATAAGCTGAAAAACTATTTTAAGATGTCTAAAATGAAAAAGTTAAGACATGATAAAAAAAGTAATAACATTAAAGATTAACACTGCAAACTATTTTACCTATAATTGTATAGTATATATATATAATATAATTTATATTTAGTATATATGTAATACAATTTTATATTATGAAAGCAATCAATTTTTCTTTAATTTCAATAAAGTAAGGTTTTGTTCTTCAACATGCATCTTAGAGGTAACCGTGTGAGATGCAGAGATTTCATAGATAAACACTTTTGGAAAGAGCATCGTCTTCTAGAGTCATCATCGTATTCTGATTTTTAAAAATACAAATTAATTTTCTTTAAAAATAAAAATTAATATACTTTAAATACAATTGACAATTGACTTGAATTACATTATTATTAAAATCTATTAATTGAATAAATTACCTGACTTTAAAAGTTTTTAAAGTCAGGTAATTTACTCATTTAAAAATAACATAAGGTTAATCTTTACTACAGAACTCATCAAATTAAAAAGTTTTCGAACTTATTACTAATGAAGCAAAGTTTTTGATCTTTTTACTAATTAAGCAGATATTAAAAAGTTTTCGATCTTATTACTAATGAACAGATAAAGATTTAAGAATACCTCATCGCGTGGTTAAAAATATAAAGAGAAATATTAAAAGGCCAAGTATGGTAAAAACACCGTGTCAAAAGCGCGCCAATTCGTAACAGCTGCAGCAGCAGCAAAGTTAAATTGAGTGTTAATTATAAGCGATGACAATCTTTATTTAATGTTTTTTCAATCAACAGTTCAGCAATGAGTTTATTACAATTGAAAAATCAATCGAACAATGAGTTAGATTTAAGACTCACTTGCATTTTAGTTGTAATTATTATTTATAAAAATATAATTAGTTTTAACTTTTAAAATATAAACTAAGAATACCTAGAGTTTTTACACAACAATAAATATAAAAAGATAAATTTTATATGTAAAAGAATAATACAACAAGTACACCAATTAACCTATTTGGTAATACAAAAAGTACACCAAATAACCTATTTTTCTTTTTATATTGCTACTTAAATATGTTCCTTTTCTTTTTTTGCGTTAAAATAAAAAAGGCATTATAAAGTTACTTACGTATGACAAACGTTTCGGCATGACTTCGGCAACCAGTAGTGGCGTCTGCTATAAATGGCCAGCCAACAAATTCCCACTAATTGATACTTTGTCAAGTCATCAGCTTGCTACTTTTATTGGCTGCTACTAGAGTAGATTACTCAAAATGCCAACATAGGTCCATTCAAATTCCACAATAAAATGTTTGCTCTATAAGTAACTCCGAACTGAAGTATTGCCTGCTTGCAGCCTTGTTGAAAGTGAATTAGTTTTTGGTTTTTGCTGTTGTTTTTTTTAAAAAAAAGCTGTTGGCTTATAGAAATTAAGTAAATTTGAAATCTTGAAAGTTATTGTTAAAACAATGCTTTAGCATTTCGCGACGTTAGAATTATCTTGTTCTATTTCCACAGTTTTGAGTTTAGAGATAAAGCAATTTAAATATAAAAATTTGAGGAGACGGCATATAAAAACATTATAATAACCTACGTTTTCCTTGCAATTTAATTACTTGTAACTTAGGTTTTAAAACAGTAGAAAATCATTATTCTAAACTACACAACACTATCACTCAATATTTCTTAAGTAGTGCAGATAGAACAAGATAAGTCTAACGTCGCGATTTAGTGAATTACAATACTACAGCTGTTTTTCAAAAAACCTTAATAATGCTTTTTACATATTTCGAGATAAATCTCAATAAAAAAGTTAGTAGTATTGACCTTTTGTAAAACTAATATTTTATTTTTAATAAAGACTAGTAAAAACACTTATCTAACTTTCTTCTACAAGTTCTTTCACCATCAGTAGGTTCATCAGGAAGAATGTCTAAACATTAAAATATTCAAAATATAGAAAATTAAAAACTATTTCACAGGAAGTAAAGTAAAAAAAAATATAATTTACAAATGCATTATTTCTTGAACAACCCTGATAAACAATATATTGTCTTAACCGAAGGCGAATGGAAAAAAGCTGATCGCAAACAATTTTTTTAACATAAAAAATACTCAAAAGAGATTTTTGTCAAAATATAATTGGCAACTTAAAGAAAAAAATTTTATTTTTAATTAAATTAGTCTATTCTAAAAACTGAGCCTGTATATAATAACATAATGTATTCTATATTTACAGAAATTATTACCCATTTGGATCAAGAAAATTTCCTAAACAAAAAATCTGAATTAATTTCTAAATGCAGACATGAAAACAAGTACCTTTTAAAAAATTATAATAACAATTGATTAAAATTATCCTAATTCTAAAAAATTCTTTTCATAATTAATTTTTTAATTTTAATGTAGTAGATGCAACTTCCTGATTGCAAAATATTTACAGTTATTACATAATTAAATCAATACCCAACTTCCTGTGAAATGTTTTTTCTATAACTTAAATTTGCTGGTGTTTAGATATTCTCCTGAAGAGTCTACTGATGGCAAAACAGCTTGTTGAAGATAATTAGTTAAGCGTTTTTACTAATTTATTATTGCTCTGTACTTTAAGAACATTGATCACTCTATTTGTAGAAAACACTCTTCGTATAAGCAGAGGCGATTTTAAGAATAAAATGAGGGAGGGGATGAATCCTCAGAAAGTTTTAAAAAAGGTCCTAAAAAAGAAAATTTAACCGACTGCATTGTGTCAAATATCCGACTAGCCGACTAAATTCGTCAAAAAACCGAAAATCACTATCTTCGGGGAAGGGTGTAACACCCCCACACACTCCCGTAAAATTGCCTCTAAATATAAGTGTAAGTAATATAAGAAGGCATCCATAAAATATGTACGCAGGGAAACCGCTGGTTTAAGAGTATTACTCTAGTGTCCTGATCATACAAGTTTTTTACTGTTTTATTATTTAATAATATCTTCTTAGACTCAATATTTATTTATTGTTTTAGATTATTATTAGGTAGATAAAATTTGTCTGCTATATGAGCTTACATTAATTAAAACTTAACAAAAATTGTGGCTATTAAAGCCTTTGCAGTGGAAGACAAATCAAAGTCCTTGATGTTAATTATGGGCATAATTAACAAAAATCACACCAATTGCTATACTTATATTTCATCACATCATTGTAAATGATTTAAACCATCTCAATTAGCTATCAAACCCTTCGATAATTTAATCATAAACATGCGTTAGTTTTTGTTTTAATTAATTTAATTAAAACAAATAAATATTAGTCACAGAATAAAAACAAATTTTTCTTTTTAATATATTCATTATTAAGATGTTTTTTTATCATATAATTTGGAAGTGGATTCCACATAAAGCTTTTTTTTTTTAAAATATGGCATCGTCGAAGACGATTTTAAGTAAATAGTTCGTAAAAAATTAAAAGTTGTTTAGTCTAATGTACAATGCTTCCGAATTCTTTGCAATTAACTTTGAAACTTTTTTGTTGTTATTTACGCAACAATAAGGTTTTTTAATTTTTACAAATTAATTATGGCAAAATAACAGTTATTAATATAGCGACATTGAATTATAGATTAAATTATAGTTGCTAACCTATACTTATCAAATAAATTTTTTAATAAAATGATTTTTTGCATAATAATAATCGTTATCATGCATAATTTCCTCATCGTTATAATCATTATTATGATCGTGATAATGACGATAATCAAAATAATTTATTTATTAAACAGGTCATTTGGTTGTACTGTACTGGAAATGCTTACAACGAAGCCGCCTTGGTCTCATTTAAATGAAACAGCTGCTATTTTCCATATTGTTTCAAATTTAACGAAACCCGATCTGCCTGAAAACTTGTCAAACTCTTGCGTTAAGTTTGTAAATGATTGTTTTATAAGCTAAGCACTAAATAAACAAAATAAGATTAGTTTATTTGTTTAAACTTTTTTTATTCAAAGTCTTTGTATATTTTTTATATCATGTTTTGTCGTTTAATTGTTGTATGTTGATGTTGATTATGTAATGATTGCGTAAAATACATTATACAATACAAAATACATACATCAACAGAAAAAATGATTTATTATTCATTCGTTTTTTATAAACACGATGAGTTTTTAATTTCTGTTATAGAGAACCGGCATCACGACCAGATGCATCGCAATTGAAGTCTTATGATTGGGTAAAAAGATAAATTGCATAACGTTCAAATCATTAAATTTGTGACATCAAAATATATTATTTTTTAAATAACATTTGCAAATTAAAAATAACATTTTGCGATAAAA